GTTATATTTGAATTGTTGCTGGTATCTATTCTTAGAAAATAAGTATCCAATCTTCTTTATACATATTCTGATAATTTCCTATATGTGGAGCTAATGTACTTTAAAAACAACAACAAAGATTGTTAGGAAGCTGGCAGGATTTGTTTGTGCAGTGCTGAGAGTCAGAAGGATAGAAGTGGATACAACTGGAAATAAATAAATAAAATCCTACAGATAGTTACGAATAAATCTTAAAGAAGAATTTTCTCAGAATTTCCTTGAGAATACCTTTATTTATACTAAGAATACAATCTGCCAAAATTTTAGAAAAGTCACTCCTCTCCACTCCAGAGATGAGAATAGGGACCACTGCCTAATGACTGTTTTTCTCATGCCTATACTTCAGACTTCCCACTAAAATGCAACTATGAGTTTCACAAAACCCATGTCATACCTACTTTCTCTTTCCCTTTGTATAAGCACAAAGTACTTTCTAATTTGTGAGTAGAATACAATAGTTAAAACTAAATATTCCTTTTTTTAAAAAGCCATTTGAAAAGAAAACAATACCGCAGTTTATGCTTCCAGTAACAGGGCCTCTATCTCTCAACACAAACTATTTCAGGATTTCCCCCTCCGCACAGCTTCCCCCGCTTGGGTTTCCCTATGTCCAAAATATTATACTGAAAAATGTCAGATTTAGAAAGAAAAAAAAACTAACAAGTTAGAGAGGATATCAAAAGTAAGACTTACAACTGATGGGGCAAGATAATGAATTATAAAAGGAAATTTCACTAGATCTACAAAAAAAAAAAAAAAAAAACAACCAACCTTGCCTGAGCTTTTAAAATTTAGAAAGGAAATATAAATGAAAAACCTGGAGAATGACCTGGATAACTTTTTCCTACTGGATTTATAAAAGAAGCTTGTTAAAATCTTGAAGATCTTGTTGTAATGGGTCAAAGAAGAAATGAAGAAGAATCAAATACTCTGGCAAAATTGGAACTAAAAGATTAAGACTGTTAGAAGTAAAAGGAAGAAGTATAAAGTTGGTGTATTTGATCAATGTTAAAAAAAGAAAAGTATCTTACTTCTGGCTACACTATTTGGACTTTCTGCTGACACCAGGACTGAAAAGATGTTTATGGATTTGTTTACATATAAGAAATGGGATGGAGATAAATGCTTGTAACTTCAGAGAGAGTGAAGATTACTACATTTGTTTATACTTGTTGAGATGAATGTTTGAAGTCACTTTATATATTTCTTTTCTCTTTCTTCTCTTTTTCTATTTCCTTGCACTTTTTATTTCTATTTTCTTTTCTTTCTGTAAATTTAGTTTGCATTCAGTTTGATATTATAATCAAAATTGTTAATAAAATTATAAATAGATAGATAGTAATTGTGTTTACTTCTTCTTGCTTAACCTCCAGGTACTCAGATTATACCATTTTACTTCTGAACCCCATTTTTATATCTGCATAAAACTCTTATACTTATTGCTAAGAGGAATGCAATGCAGACTAGCAAATTGTTTTGATTATTTGTAATACAAATGTTTTAAGGAAGGTACTGTCTTGCCAGTAACTCATTAATAGCATGAAATAGGTTACATTCCCAGATATCTCTTCACATTGTTTACTTCTAAGTAGATGGGTAAATAATTGGGCTAAGTATTAGAATGCACGGAAAGAGTGAACACTAGGTGTCAGTGTAAGAAATGAAGAAAAAAAATAAAAAACCTGTTGCTTCCAATCAGGTGGATAAGCTAAAAAACTAGAACCAGCTGTGACCACATTTACTTGTAACTGCATAATACTGTTAACAAGCCAACCTTCCTTAGAAAACTGATTCCCAAACCATTGGGTTCACTTGAAATCAGATAAGTATTAGAAGCCGCAATGATTTCTCTCTATTAAATACCACTGAAGCGGTTGTTAAAATAAAGCAAAATACCTTATAACATTAGGCATTCATTTATTTCATCAATACTTGTCAAGGATGTATTCAGATGGAAGTTGACCATACCAACTGTAACTCTATAAAAGTTCCTTAATAACTGGCATAGGATTTGAGTATTACAGTTGGTAATTTGGAAAGTGTAATGGCTACTGATCAGATTAATCTATTTGGACTGATGCAGAACTGGTACGGGCATATTTGGTTGGAATATGTTTGACTATGCAAAACAAACCAGCTGGAATTATTATTTATTGAAAAAAATAGAAATGCTGATGTTACTTTAAATATAACTGATTTCTTAGCCCAAGGATTGCAGTCTGGCAGAAGTTGAACTTAGACTAAAATTGGCAAGTTTTTAAAAATAGTTGCTTTACGCAGAATAGCTACTAAATCAGTGTTAGTATCCAGCTTTCTATTTCACAGCCATCATCATTTATTCATGTTCACACCTTCTCTTGTAGCTGATTTCATAAGTTAGCTACAATGTAGCTGAATTTTTAAAAATTGTCATTTTTATTTTGTAGGGTAAAACATAAATTTAAAACAATACATACAAATAGGTAACACTTTGAATTTTAAACATTCAGAGATGACCTTTAGATTCAAGAGATGAAAGAACGTTCTCTCTCTTGCTGCTTGGGTTGAGAAAATCCAAGAAACCTGCGACTGAATTTTAAAATAACCCACAACTTTTAAATTGCATTTTTACTATGGTTTTATTCTCATGTAGTATTTCTGTTCTCCTGCACAGGTCAGGGTTGAGCACTTGGCATCCCATAATCCCCTTCTCTCCCACCCCCACCCCAAGATAATTGTTTGTATTTACCAGAAAAACAAATGCACAGTTTCTGCAAGACATAATGCACCTGTTTTATCCCATTAAATCATCCTCAGGTCCAGCCAATTTCAATTCTTTGATGAGAATTTGGATGCAACTTTATGGATTAGCAGTCCTTAAGGAGAGATGGATGGATATGATCCAATCAGCAATTTTCAAGCTCATAATCATAATTCATTAGAAGTCACGATTAAATTTGAGGGAAAAGATCACAGGTGTCTCGCACACACACAACGCATACATATAAGGCTGATTTTGTTTGTATCAAAACAAAATGTCAGGACTCTTCCCTGTCTTAACTGGACAAAAGAAGAGCAAAGCCAGTGTTTTCTACAGCTGTTGCTACGAAGTGCAAGCCCTGATCTATAATAAACTTGCAACAAGAAAATAAGAGTAGCTATTTCAAAAATTAAACCCAGAATTTAGTTTTATTAGATTTATTAGAAAACTAAGAAATTTAACTGTCAGTCTGTTTCAGGATCTCTTAGTTCTCTGGAGCTCACATTGGGGTGTGCCAGAGGAAAGATGGAAATGGGAGCATCCAATTTACAAAGTTTCCTCATACAATCTGGAATCAGAGGCAATATCTATCTACCAAACATTTATCTTATCAAACAACTTTGAAATTGTTGATTTTGGAGATGGAAAGAAATGAGGCTTTTTTTTAGTTAGCTGCTATATATTGTCAGTGGTGGGATTCGAATTTTTTTTTAATACCGGTTCTGTGGGCGTGGCTTGGTGGGCGTGGCAGGGGAAGGATACTGTAAAATCTCCAATCAGAGGTGGTATTTGCTGGTTCTCCGAATAACTCAAAATTTCCGCTACTGGTTCTCCAGAACTGGTCTGAACCTGCTGAATACTACCTCTGTATATTTTAAACTGCTATCTTCAGGAAAAAAAGCTATATCAGCACTTTTAAATTTTCTTGTTGACAAATCTTTTGCAGAACTATAGAAAAGAATTGTATTTTCAAGTGTTTCATGAGTATCAAGTATTCACTCATTGTAGCTGTATGATAAATGAAGTGATAAATAAAAGAACAAAGAGAAAGTAAAACATGTAAAGTTATAATTCAACAAAATATGTGCTCCATAATACAACTAAACAATAAAATGTATTTTAACAGAATTGATGTTTTATTTTGACATTGCCTTCTAAGACAGGAAATAATTAGGAAATTAGGACAATTAGGAAAATATATTTTCTCATCTGTACTAATGTTCCATTATAAGGAACATTTAAATATTTGAAATGTATGCAGCTTTTTAAAAAGTTGCTATCTGTTAGCTACAGAGCACACATTTTTATAAAATTGTTTAGCTATATAGAAGATTGTTTCCATCCTGTGAGTAATAAGATCCCAATGGGGTAACTACTCCCTTTATTTTATACAATTGAAAATTAATTATACGACTTTTTTTCTATTTTGGTAACCTCTTTAATTAAGGTCCTCACAGGAAGCTTTATTACTTTTTAAAACAATCACATACAACAAGAACTTTTTATGATGCCCTACTGGCAAGAAGTGATAGTGGCAAATAATTTTCTAAAAGTAGTTAAGCATTTTTTTGCCATGTTAACTGATAATGAATTTAGCACACTCATTTTAAACAAATCTAGGAGCAACACACAATTACAGCTCATATTATTCATTCATAAAAATATTTAACTTTATTAGTATTTACAAAGTACAAGTGGTTTGCAAAAATGCAAAATATTTTTAAAATACTCTTGTGTAATACTTAAAATATTATCTCAGGCTAAATACAGATTACATACCAAACCATAATGGCAGCCATACTTAAAAATGCATTCTGTGTTCAAAGTGTTTTCAAAGTGCAAATTTGGAGCATGCAAACATTACATAATTTATTTTTTTATTAAATAAAAACATAACCAATAATCATTTCCTTTGTATTTTAATTCCCTCAAAATACTGAAACAAGATATATATATTATGTTCATGGGTTTTTTTCTCAATTGTTACATAGACTTTTTGATGCAACAAGGCAAAGGGTATTGCACAGACTCTTGGCATCAGGCATGGGTAATATTTGATAGCTTTACTTCTACATTCTGAAATGCAGCAAATGGAGATTATCTATCCTACTGGCTAGTAATATTCATAAAATGGGATACTGATCACTTTGTCAGAAACAGATATTTCACTGAAACTGTTGGTCTTCTGTTTTCATTTGTTCAATAACAACAAAAACCTTACCAAATTAATCAGTTGAGTGTGGACAATGTCTTCAACCAATATTGCTGATTCATGTAGGGGCCTGCGAGCATCTCCTAAGGAAAACCTAAAAGACAATTTACTGTAATTAGCAAACTAAAAACAAATAAATGCAGGAGAAAAAGAAATATATAGTGTTAAATAGTAAAAGAATTATTAGACATGATGCAAATGGATTGAAAAGAAAAAAATGTATGTTAAACCTAAACCCATGGCCTTCATGACCTTTAACCTGGGCATAAATCAAGATTTTAAGAATTCTATTCTGTGGGAAGATAATGCTTAGGAGCAATTAAGCTGTCTCCACAGTTCAGTGATTAATAGCTGCATCCACCAAAAATTCCTCTATTGCTAAAATTCAAAAGTTTATATTGACTTCCTGAAATATGCCATTAATGTAAACTTGGTAGGTTTAGTAGGATTTAGGGTACCTAGAAAATCGCTCATAGTCCTATGTTCTATAAGTTTATCTAATCTCCATCAAAAATAGTGGTCATCACAATATCTTGTGGCAAAGAATAAACTGTGACAGCTTCAGGAAGAAACTTTATCTATACCAATTTTTTCTATAGAAGGGCAGAATACCCTCTATAACAGTGATGGCAAACATTTTTGTTGTGGTGTGCCGAAAGCATGCATGCACGAGTGCACATGCGTGCGTGCCGGCACCCATAATGCAATGTGCCCCCATGCATGCATGTGCAACACCCCCATCCTGCCCCTTACTTGCGCTGCACGTGCACGTGCCATCCAGCTGATTTTTGGCCTGTTTGAGGCCTTTTTTGCCCACCCGAGGCTCGAGGGAAGCCTCTGCAGCCTCAGGAGGCCAAAAAACGGGCCTTCCAGAAATACCAGAAGTGCCAGTTTTCAGCCTTTGGAGGGTCTCTGGAGCCCGGGGAGGCTGTTTTCGGCCTCTCGGAGGCTCGGGGGAAACTTCTGCAACCTTGGGAGGCCAAAAACAGGCCTGTTTCAGCACTTCTGGTATTTCCGGAAGGCCCGTTTTTCAGCCTCCCAAGGCTGCAAAGGCTTCCCTTGAGCCTCCAGGAGGCTGAAAAATGCTTCAAATGGGCCAAAAATCAGCTGGGAGGCACACGCATACGCAGTACAAGTAAGTTTGGCTGAGGCTCACGTGCCCGCACAAATGGCTCTGTGTGCCACCTGTGGCACGCGTGCCATAGGTTTGCCATCATGACTCTGTAAGATGTAAAGCTGATAAACTGGTGACTAGGTCCATAATTCTTTCTTCACTAGAATTATGTTTCCAATTACACAAGTGTCCCTTGATGGAATTCATTTGCCTCCCAACTACTATTGGATTTACCTACTGATCCCTTCATCACGACTGTGTTTTTTTCTGCCTGGCTTTTGGGTGCTGGATGCCCAAGCCTAACCCAATGATGCAATGTGAAAAATAAAATATTTTCTGAAAGTAATGCATTTTTACATTTTTTCAGTTCTGTCATATTATTGTACATTGAGCTAATTTCTAGCCATTATTCCATAGCAAAACATTTTTGCCCAGTGTGAAAACTTTTAACAGAAAAGTTTTAATGGGAAAAAATGGAGAATAATCATGAGCAAAATTTGGGAGCTGTAGTGAAGGGGCTGGCAACCCAGAGTTTTGCTCTTCAGCAATTCATTAAGAAATACACAAACGTTAAAAAGTTTATTGTTCCTTTGTTGATTTAGAGATAATGTATGATAAATTACATTTATTATGCTTATGCCTATTATGCGTATTATTAAATTGTGGGATGTTATGCATGAGTACATAGTTGAAGATTGGTTTCTAAGCGCAATCAGTGTAATATTAGTAAAATATGAGGAAGAATAAATGGAACGGTTAGTGAAAAGTTCAACATTAAGCAAGAAGTAATGCAAGGATATACTTTGTGCCATTTATTCTTTAATATATTTATAATGACCATATAAGGATCGCTGTAGTGATATTGGAAGTGTGATAATTGGGAGTGTGAATATAAATCTGCTTTGGATACAAATGATACTATTGAAGAAAACCCAAATGTTTAGATAGATTATATGATGCAAAAAGGAGTACAGATCTCAAAAGGTATGTAATAAAGACTAAAACAACTGTTAGAGTAATTTACTATATAAAGAAAATAGGGACATGTTAAGATGGACAAATAGGTATGAGCATTTATAAAAAAAAAACACCTCAGTAGCATCAATCTTCCAAATTCCAATTTATATGAGAGAAGTTAGAATATACTATGATTAAGGACAAATTTAGGTTCCTGTTGGACCTGCCACAACTTAGAACTCTAAATAAAAACATTCCTTGGCTCCATTTATTGAGAAAGTGTATTGCAGTAGTGCAAAGCCAGAACTGAAAGTTGCGCTCCAAATTCTCTATGTTCTATTTTTCCCTCGCTTAAATGTATCTGATTGCCACCCTAGGGGAACCAATCAGGTTCAGGCAAGATATTTTCATCATGGTCAGTTCAAGCATAGTTTGGTATGTGGCCCCCTCCTTCTTCCAGCTGGGTACCCTTGAGGCAGCACCTCGAGGAGACACAGCACTTGCTTTCGTTTTCTGAAACATTCCCCCTTCCTTCCCCCTCCCCACAGTTCATGGCAGTCTGTCATCACCTAGCAGTGAAGCACAAGCAAGCATAAGGTGGCAGCTGACAGCCTCCTCCATGGGATGAAACAATGGCTGCATCCTATAGATAAATCCTTTAAAAATTATTACAGGGCATCTTCATGCCATAGTCAGCAAAATGTAGAGCAAACAATTAATGCTGCAAAATTATTTGTTTCATAATGAAAGATGTTTCTGGGGAAGAAAAACTTAGAGACAAACTTCAAACCACTCATGGTGGAGGAACGTGTCCACTGACAGGAATGTCCTCATGGTCAGGGATGGGATCCGACCGGCATAACTACCGGTTCTATCGCTCTGCATCGTGCGCGCGCATGACCTGCCGAGCTGCCTGGATAGCTGAGCAGCACTGCGTTCAAGGTCGCAGTGGTTGGAAAGGCCCTTTTTTCCTTTTTCAACCACAGCTGTGTCGTGCAAAGCAGCTGCAGTTGAAAACGCAGGAAATAAAAGTCAAGTAAGAGCCCGGGAGGGCGGGTGGCCAAAACAGCAACAAACATAGAACCAGTTCTATGTATGCTCTCTGTTTGCTGCTCTTTAGAGCAACCAGTTCTACAGAAGTGGACAGAACCAGTAGAATCCCACCCCTGCTCATGGTGAAAGAATAAACACAATAAAGAAATTGCATTCTGAATTTGCAATCCTATGAAATATGACAACCCAGATAGTTATCCTCAAGTTTTTGAGCATGTATGCATATGTTTTAAGTCAGTATAGTGGGGAGATGATTCTGGCAGCAAAGGAATCAAGGACCAAAGGGACTTGTGGTGTGGGTACGTACGATATTCAGAAAGCAGCATATTTTCCTTATCTATATCTTTCTGTCTTTGAGCAAACCTTGATACACAGGCAATATGGCATGCAGCTGCTCAAGAATCAGTATCTTCTCATGTATTCTTTTAAAAAAATATGTAAAGATTGTAATCTACTAAAATCAATAATGTTGTATGCTTTTGTCTTGGAAAATGATTCACAAAGACAACCAGGAAAAATGTGCAGCAATGAAAACAACCAGTGTTTCAGATGCAAAGCACAATGACTTTCTAGCATGCAACTCAACCTGCTTTCATAAAAGTTTCTGCAGATACTTATGCATCTACAGAAACAGCCTACTTGAAAGAGAAACAAACAAACCAGGAACTAATAATCTATTTGCATAAAGTGGGTTTGATCTATTAAAGAAGAATGTTTAAAATACAAATTTTCCTATGTAGGTAGATACGTAATTGGGGCAATAATAATGAATAGAGTTTTTAACAATGAATAGATCTATACTAATACTGTAGTGATTAAGGTACCAGGCTAGAAAGGGCGTTGGTACTTACCTGACACGCCCGTTCTCTTTGAGCTGTGAAGAGCATCCAGTAGTAGGAGGTGCTTCAGTCTCTGCATGTCTAGGCTGGGCTTAATTTGTGGAACGCTCCTCCTCCTCCACAAGACTCCTCCCCAGTGTTCCCCAGTTTTGGCGAAGACGAGAGAAATAAACGCCCTCGTCCTCAATGCCCTAACAAATTTGTTGGCCAAAACAGGACCCCACCAGATGGAAAAAGGGTGGGGCTGGATGCTCTTCACAGCTCAAAGAGAACGGGTGTGTCAGGTAAGTACCAACACCCTTTTTCCCATGAGCTGTTCAGAGCATCCAGTAGTGGGACATACCAAAGCTTGGCCTGTCCTACGGGAGGGACTCCGTCTGGCCTGGAAACCCCTCCTGGTCCCTGTGGACCCGTTGCAGAACTCTTCTGCTAAAGGAGGCCTCAGCGGATGCAAACACATTTATTTTATAATGCCTAATGAATGGTGATGGAGAGGCCCAGGTTGCGGCTCGACAAATTTCAGTTATTTGTGCCTGTGTGGCCCACGTTGCTGATGTTGCGGCACTCCTTGTTGAATGAGCTGTTATGCCCCTAGGCATCTGCAGTGATTGAGTCTGATACGTTTTCGCTATCGCGGCCCATAGCCAATGGCCTATTGTAGAAGATGAGACCTTGCATCCCTGAGTGTTGGGCTGAAATGACACAAATAAGGCTTCCGTTTTTCTGAAAGTTGCTGTGCAGTTAATATATATTCGCAATGCTTGCCTCACATCAAGCCTATGCCATTGTAGTTCCAACCCTTGGGAAGGTCTGGGACAAAAATTAGGAAGTATCAGCTCTTGTGCCCTATGAAAAACCGAGTTAATTTTGGGAATAAACATAGGATCAGGACGAAGGACCACCCAGTCAGAATGGAAAACACAAAGATCTTGTCTGATAGACAAAGCTTCAAGTTCTGAAATACGACGAGCAGAAGTGATCGCTACAAGGAAAATGACTTTATACGTCAGAAATTGGGGACTTGACGATTTCAAGGGTTCAAAAGGGCCCTTAGTGAGTGTGACGAGGACCCTGTTAAGGTCCCAGGTGGGATAACAGTGTACCGCTGGAGGGCGTAAATTTGTGGTTCCT